ACACATGTACATAGTAGATAAGTCAAATACGTATGTACGTACGTATGTAAAATATGCACGAACAATACAACACCGGCGAAACAGCGGTAACTGACGCGCTTGTCAGCCGGCACCGCTTCTCGTTGGTTGCCTGTCAAATGGCAGCGGCAATTGTTGGCGTCAACTTTGCAACTGTCACTTCCGCCCGCTTGGCGTACCGGCAAATGTTTTTGCGCTCACTCACATATCGCACACATACTCACGCACTCACAATCGCTGAGCTGCGCAAATACAAGAAGAAATGCACTAATGCCGCTTTTTAGGTCAACAATCAGTCAGCAACCAGTAGCCAGCCAGCCGACCAACCGACCAGCCAGTGGGTGAGTAGGCGAATGAGCACAAATGTGCATGTGTGCATGCGTGTTTTTTTTTTTTTTTTTTTTTTTTTTTTTTTGTAGAGGTGGCACAAAACATTGAAAGCCGAAAAGTGTGGGACTTGCCTTTCAGCTCACCGCACTAAAAACCCACCCCTGCTCCGTTTCCCTCCCACCGTGGAACTACCGTAAGGTATTACTTCGCGGAGGGGGAGCGGCCTATTGCCAATCTATGAAATTCTGCGGAGTTGTTCCGCTCGACGCAATTTAGATGAAATTGTGCTTGCCAAATTGCAAACAACGGACCAGTTATCTTCTGACTCAAGCATAGTATCCACAAGGTTATGAACCGTAAGTGGCCTCCCCACCTTCCTGCTCGAGTCATCCCTTTCGATTGCAAACCTCAGTGTTCAGCGTCTTCAATAATACCCTTTGCACAGAAGGTGCAGAAGGGATCGTCTTCGTGCTTAAATCGGTATAAATATGATTTAAAGCACCCATGCCCTGTCAATATTTGGGTCAAATGGAAGTCCACTTCCCCATGTTCCCTACTTACCCACCTTGATATCGAGGGTATGAGGCGGTGCGTCCAACGACCGCTGGCTGCGCGGTCCCACCTCGTTTGCCATTGCTGCAAGCACCTCTGTGTCACCTCTTCGCGTCTCGTTCGGTTTATAGGCCTGGGGCCTGTCACTTCCACTAGAATGTCAATGGGGCAGAGTCCTGCCACCACTAGCGCTGCTTCTTCGGACGTAGTTCGGAATGCACTGCATACTTTGATAGCGCAAAATCTGTTCAAAGACCTTGCTTCTCGTACATATGACGTCTTGCTGAACGCTTCATACCAGACTTGTGCACCATAGAGCAGGACACTGCGCACGACGCTTGCGTATAGCTGCCTACGCTGTTGTTTCGGGCCTCCTACGTTCAGCATAACCCTTGTTAGTGCCCCTGCCACCTTCGACAGCATAATCAATGTGCGTCTTGAAGGTAAGCCTCGCATCAAACATTATGCCTAGGTATTTTAGGGCCGCCTTTGACGTAATTTCTTGTTGACCAACCTTTATAGTCGCCACTTCTCTGACTTTCCTACTGCTTACTAGAACTGTCTCGGTTTTTTGGTGCGCAAGTTCCAGTCCTGTTTCGGCCAGCCATGCTTGGATCTGGACGATTGAACTATTTGCTGCGGTAATTATTTCTTCTAGGTGCTTCGCTACCACCACTAGCGCTATGTCGTCAGCAAATCCGACCATTTTCACTCGTTCTGGCAAGGATAGTCGGAGTACACCATCGTACATGATATTCCAGAGTATTGGACCCAGAACCGAACCCTGTGGTACTCCAGCCGAGACTTTATGTTCTTTGACACCGTTCTCCGTGTTGTACAGTAGCACTCTATTTGCTAGGTAGTTGTCTACAATCTTGCGAAGGTATGCGGGTACCTCGAATCTGCGTAGAGCAGCGTTTATGTGTCTCCAACTTGCTCTAATGAACGCATTTTTTACATCGAGGGTGACAAGCAAGCAGTACTCCTTTGCTCCTCCCTTCCACCTTTCGCCACTGATTGCATCTTCAGCCAACTGCTTTACTAAACTGGCTGCATCTACCGTTGACCGCCCCTTTCTGAAGCCGAACTGTGTCTCTGAGAGGCCTCCCTTTTCCTCGATTGCTTCTAGCAGTCTATCGCTGATTATGCGTTCGAACAACTTGCCCGTCGTATCCAACATGCATATAGGACGATATGCTGAGGGATCTTCTGGTGGCTTCCCAGTTTTCGGCAATAGAACTAGCCGCTGGCGCTTCCATGCATCAGGAAATACTCCTTCTTTGAAGCATTCGTTGAAACTATCGACGAACACTTTAGGGTTCGCAGCTACAGCAAGCTTGAGGACACGATTTGGAATTGCATCCGGCCCCGGTGATTTTTTATCTTTAAATCGCTTGGCCGCAAGAAGTACTTCTTCCGTGCTCACCATGGGAAACTCGAACATCGTAGCAGGAAAGATTTCTCTCACAAAACTTGGTTGCATTGGGAATAACGCCTTTATTATCGTCTCCAGCTTATTTAGGCATAATACCTGTGGTCGAACCGATGCCTTCAGCCTTTTCGTCACAACTTTATATGCTAAGCCCCAGGGGTCATTTTGGACGCTTTCACACAAGCTAGTAAAGCACTTTCGCTTGCTGAACTTAATGGCTTGTTTAAGCTCCTTGCGTTTAGCTCTGTATATAGCATGTTCGCCGGTAAAGCTTTCAGACCTTCTGGAACGCTGGTAGTTTCTTCTCGCTCTGTTGCATTGCAGTCGCAAGTCCGCTATTTGCTCATTCCACCAATAAACTGGTGCACGTCGGCTGGTCGGGTATTTTTTCTTCATCGAAGCGTCGCACGCTTGAGTGATTTTGGCCATGAGGTAGTTCGTCATGTTACTAGCTCCGTAGGGTAACGAAATTCCAGACATCATGGCTACTAGCGCCTCTTCGTCTAGAGAGTTGACCTTCCAACCTGTTTTTGCTCTTGCACTGACTTTTCTGCTCTCTCTCTCCTCTTGTATCGAGAAAGTGATAGCCATGTGGTCGCTATGAGTGTACTCGTCGCTAACCTCCCAAGACGTGTGTCGAAACAGCCTGTTGCTGATAAATGTGAGGTCAATAATGGACCCCACCCCATCCTTGCTGAATGTAAATTTGGTACCCGAGTTGCATAATGCCCCATCCAGAGACGATAGTGCTGCAAGAAGAGCTCTTCCTCTGACGTTAGTTCGTCGGCTTCCCCATTGCAAGGCCCAAGCATTGAAGTCGCCGGCTATTAATACGGGTGCTCTAGTCCGGGCATCAAAGGTAAGCTTATCCATGACGGCTTCGAATTCATCGAGGGTAAAACTAGGCGGTATGTAGCAGCTATATACAACTAATCCAGAGACTCGAACACATACAAAACCTACGTCTGCCTTGAGTTGTTCCATATGAAGGGGCGTTATGGCGCAGCTCCACACCGCTGCTCGACCGGCATCGTCCTGGGCCCATAGCTGACTATCCCCCACCTTGTATGGTTCACTTAGTATCGCTATGTCAACATTGTGGTCAATCACCGTCTGCTCCACTAGCTCCTGTGCAGCTTTGCAGTGGTTCAGGTTAAGCTGCACGACCTTCATGGTGTCCGGGATTTTTGTATCGCCTCTATATAGTACGGGCAGTCTTTTCCGCCTGTCCTGTGCTTTACGTCTGGCTTTTTGTTTCTGGAGCAGATTACGCACCGTTTCTCCTTCTTACATACGTTGGCTTTATGGCCTATATCACCGCAATTGAAGCACGCCCCTTTCGAATCGTGACTGCTTTTACAGTTTCTTGCCAGGTGGCCAAACTCTAAACATTTGAAACATTGCGTCGGGTGCATTTTTAGTCTTATTCGATAGATTACCCACTCTACCCGAACTTTGCCCACTGCGATCAATTTGCTCGCCATGGCGGCTGGCAGCAGCAGGGTTGCTGTCTTCGTACCGCTGTACGCGCTTCTTAATGACTTGACTGCTTCTACAGAAATTTTGCTGCCATCGACCTCACTTTCTAAGGCAGAACAGAGCTCTTGTTTGCTTATTAGCTCGTCTAAGTCCTTGACTTCTACCGCGGTTTTTTCGGTCAGGGTCTCTACCGTCGCTTTCTCTCCCAGCGTTTCCTTGACAGCTTGTTGAACCTCCACTGTGTGCGAATCCGTGGGTTTGGCCAATTGTAGGAGTAGGTCCCCATTGCCGGTTTTGCGTACTTTGGTTACCACGTCTTCCAGATGTTTTAGTTGTGGATCGTTTTTTAAACCTCGCAGTATTTCTGCATATGAACTTCCGTCACGACTTTTTATTACTATAGCATCCGGCTTTGGCAACTTGGGCTTCGGCTTCGACCTTTTCTTTCCTTCTACTGTCTTCCATTGGGGTTCTTTGCCATCATTCGCCCCATCTGATCGGTTTTTCTCTTCACTTACGTTCGCTGGCGTCATTGCTTTTTCCTGGCGTTCTATCGCAGTGCTTGGCTGCTTTCCAGTTTTACTCGGTTTACCGCTCCCAGGGATTTTTTGAGGCGTTGTTTGGCAAGCGGCACTCAACACGTTTCGCGGTAGCGCATTCCCTGTTTTGCCATACAGTATGGCCAGCTCGGCAATGATATCCCGCATAGGTTGGTGAATGGACCTTCTTTTGCCGTCTTCCAGCATTTCCACCAACTCCCGTATTTTAACTCCCAGAGTAACCCACGCGGTCGGTTGATCTTCTGTTTGGGCCATACGCGCGCCTGGAGATGATGACCAGGGTCCTGTAGGCGAGCTCGCCAGTCTGGGGCGCTTTCCAAACGGATTTATGACGTCCCCACTCTCGGTTGCCAATACATCACCAGCTCCTGCCTTTTCACCCCCGTTCGTCTTTCGCCCCGGTGGAGGCGACCTTGCGAGGCTCATAGTTTTTTGTTTTTTGTTCTTTTTTTTTTTTTTTTTAAGTATGCGTGTATGTGTATTTTCATATGTGTGCAAGTGTGTCAGTGCAAGCGCACGCGCTTAATGTCGTCATCTTGCCGCCGGTACCCCAGCGACAGCGACACCTCCAACAGGCAAAGCAACAACAAGCGGATTTATATTCACCTGGCATCGAACTACCAACATATCTACATAGCTGCCTTAGCTGGAATGGCGCTAACGCTGACGCTTTGGCGTTCGTTATGTTGTATTGTATGCGCGGTGAGTGTGCAAGAGTTCAATGATGTGCAATGCCGTTGCGTGTCGCTTGGCGTTGCATTTAATTGTCGCTGCAGCAGCGCTGCTTTTACAAAATGAATAAATTCAAATGCACATTTATTGGCGATAAGTAAGTTCTTTACGCTTGATAAATTTAGGTTGCATTTGCATCGAATGGCGGCTATGGCAATGGCAATATACATATGCATGTATGTATGTATACATGAACTCACACATACTTATGCACATGCATGTGCTTATATAAATAAATGCTTTTCAATTTTCTACCTGAAAAAATACGAAAGATGTTTTGCTTTCGCGCAGCATAGGATAAGCAATAGAGAACTTATTTATTTACATTAAGGTGCAACACTCTTCTAGCAAAAAAAAAATGGTGCTGGTAATATTTGCATTGGAAATATTGAATCTATTACATTTTAAGGCTTCCGCCAAAATATTTCGAAATCTTCGAAATTCGATCGATTTTTATAACTAACACTAGCTTTAAGAAAAATTTTACCCAAAAAATCACTTTAGGCGATAGAACAGTTTAAGCTTAAGAGGTCTGCATAAACATGTTTCAAATTTGTTTCACCAGAATTAGACAAAAAATAATAATTTTTTTTATTTTAGGTATTTTCAAACCGGTCTAGCTAACGTTAATCTTAGTATTTTTCGAAATATTTTGTCGGAAGTCTTAAGAATTATAGATTTTATATTTCCAATGTAAAAACAGTACCATTTTTTTTTGTATAGAGAGTGTTGTACCGTCATGTAAATATGTATGAAATATTATACCTGCAGTCTTAACATATAATAAATTTTACAAATCCGGCAGAAAACCCGCAATTTTTTTGGTGATGCAACCTAAGGCACATATATTAAAAATCAGCCGCAAGTTCGCAGCTTAAGTCTTATGTAATTAAAATTTATGACTATTTTTATGAACGTTATCATCTTCTATTAATTAAGTAATTAATATTACTATGCCTGTGAAATGCATAAATATAAAACTGAAAATAGATGTTAGCACATTTATGACCTTTTAAATCTATCAGACTGTATCAATTGTTGGCTTTACAATGGGCGGGGATTTCTCAGATTTTCAAATTGGAGGTTGAATTATTGGCTAATCACAGTTTGTGCCTACTTTAATAAGAAATGCATTAAAATCTTTTAGAGATTTCATTTGTTTGTCCTGGGAACTATAGGTGCAAACCTATTAGTGGATTTAAGTTAATCTGGCTGCGTATGTGCCATAGATATATAGATTGGCTCTATCAATAACTAATGTAAATAACGTTTTAAGTAAATACAATGCAAGCATGATTTAGTATGTTAATGTTGTTGGTGCATCTAAGGAGAGCTTGAGACTTAGGACTGGCACGTCCTCAACTTTATAAATTATAGGTCAAAAGAATGTTTTCAACGTGTTCTTGATACAGCAGGATATAGTGTTGGAATGTGTCACATCCCTTTGCATTTCCCACACACGCCACTCACCATAACTCCCATTTTTACGGCGTTTTTTGTTTCGTAGGATAACCCTGAGATCAGGTCTTTTGTAGATATTTAGTGTTTTATTTTGGATTACATTTTTAATAACTTCTCCTCTTGGATTTTGAAAATCTCACTTCATATTCGTAATCAGCGACCCCATAAACCTTCGACTACCAAGACTTAATTAAATAAGTCAATATATATAAAATATTTCCTATCACATAAAGTCCGCCTGGATTTTATTTTAGGGCAAATCATGACGTGATGGAGCAAAATGCACTTCAGATTCGTATTCAGCGACCCCAAAACATATTGAACACCTGGCCTGTTCAAAAAAACCTTTCGTCGATTTTTTTGTGGTTCTGTGGTACTTAAATATCTACGTAGATGTCGACGGTGGAACTGCTTTCTCTGTATGTGAAGGCTAGCTCTGTAGCCTTCCTCACAGCAATACTTCCACTTTAAATATGCGGCATCGCTCATCAGTAAAGCGACAGTTCGCTAACTACAGACAGTTCCACTGACTATTGCACCCAGATTTTGGATCCGAAGAGATTTTTCGCCGCCCACATTCCACCCAAAGGGGGCTGGAAGGGATGCAATATCTAGGATCTGGTCCTGCAAATGTATTTATGGATGGATCGAAGCTGAATGCGTAGGAAGATGGTGCTGTCTTCTACGTAGAACTCTACATCAACCTGAAATTTAGGCTACCGGATAACTGTAGCGTTTTCCAAGCTGAGGTAGCTGCAAAACAGGAGACTTCCGATTGGTTCTTCTCTAGCATAACACCTTGCAAGGAAGTAAATATCTATTCCATTATGGTTCGTTCGAGAACGGCGAAGAATTTTTTGGCTGCTTGTCGACTACATCGCATTACCACATATACAGCATATGCTCATCTGGGTTCCGAGTCACAGCGATATCGCTGTCAACTGTATGGCTGATTAGCTAGACCAGGAGCCCTTGAGGAAGTGATCCTGGTTAGAGAAAGCCTGGGTACTCCCCTGACCCTGTGTGGTGTACTCCTTTACAGATGGGCATTTTGATAGCTCAGCATGCACAAAGACCCCTGAATGTAAGGCCACGTGTTGAACGGATGCGGTCCAGAGTGCTTTGAAAAGTAAGCAGGTTGCACCTGTCGCTATTGGTGGGGGCTTGAACTGATCATAGCTTAATAGGTAATCATGCCCTCTTAAGGGCACCACGATGGACAGATTAAATCCACGACACTTACATAGACTCCCACGGAAGCGGCCCTCTAACCTAATCTAACTTGCCTGACTGTTATAGGGAATGAAGACTTGCTTCGTCTCTGTAGCGAAGTTCCATACTCCTTCCTGACTAGCCAACACTTCCACTGGATAAGACCGGTGTGATAGAGAAATGGAAAAGATGTCTCCAACATCAGTTCAGGGGAGAAAAGCCTTCCTTCATTTCGCCATTCGTGTTTAAAGCCAACTTTAAAAAAAATCTAAGGCATTAGTACACTTGTCACGTTTTTGAGGGCTGCGTTAACAGAAGTGTGGCTATTACAATGAAAGTAAGTGAGTAAGTAAGCGCAAGTACTGATGGGTATCCACTATTTCGCGAAGAAAGTTGACGTATTCCGCAAACTGCTACTTTGGTTTCGCCGAATCGGAAAATGCTCAAATAAAAGTAAACAACGTATCAGAACCTTTAAGTACACTGAAGTTAACTAAAGCTTTCACATAAATCGCCGTTTTTTACAACTTCTTTACCAATTATTTTGTAAATAACACATTTTTATAATTTAACACAATTAAGTCACGTTTCCTATAAAAAAAAATTGGTATTAAGAAATTGACAGTTTTGATAGTTTTGTTTCGACTTTGCTTATTTTCACTTGAGAAATGTTATCGCCGGATTCATTTTAAACCAATAAAAAAACTTCCTTATATCAGGTATTATACAAATTTTATATTTTGTTTAATACATTCGTCAGCCATATTAGATTCATTATTGCGTAATCTTGTATTCCGTCATTCTTTATGGGTATCGGGATAATTTTTTTTCATTCTACCGCGATGCATTCTTATTTAAATAATTTATTGCTCATTCAATTAAAAAAAAATTTCCTTCAATTAATGTCAGCGCAATCTTCAGCATTACAAGTACTTATTTTCCGCCTAATTACTCATCCATTTTATTATCTAATTGAAGCTGGAGGATGAGTTTGCTCTGTTATTCCGCACTATACACTTTGTTTTTGTGTTTGGATTTTTTACCTTTTTTTCGTCATAATTTTAATATTTTATTGCTCGCATACCAAAGCGATGATGTTATCGCTTGTTTTGAAATTTTTACACTTGAGCAATTCTAAGGCACATTAATTCTATAACTTAGCCGATACATCAAATGTATGTAAATTTGAAGGTAATTGAATATGGACAGGCACATATGAGAATATAGCTGTGGTAGTACAAGGAATTCAGAAATGAATGGTGTCATTGGCTATCACTAAAGCAAAACAAATTTATTGAATTGAAGAAAATTTGTTTCATTCAGTGTTAGAAAGCCGTTAAAGTCAATAAAATAACAACAGTACGCATGCGACGTCATCATGAGGCATACATAAACCATACATAAATTTTAATGTACGAAAACTGCAGTCGAAAAATTCCTAAATACATATAAAAAAATACAGAAAATACGTGCAAACGCATACAAACCAGAAAATAAAAAACAGATAACAACCAAACACCCGCACGCCGCCCGCCTTACTCACTACTTGGCTACAATTGCACCAAGTACAACGCAGCGTACGTAACGTGACTTTGCCAATATGACGCCATCAGTTAAGAAGCACGAAACGGCCATAGCGCAAATGTACAAAAACAAAAGCAACAGCAGCAAAATACCACCACATACACACAAACATCAGCTAATAACAAAACTAGCAACATGCTTGCAAACAACAGCAACGGCAATAGCCAAAACAACAACAACAAAAACACACATTACAACAACAACTAAGACTCTATGTCTTACAACAACTAAAGGCTCTGTTATGCATACTTGGCATTGCTTGAGAGTTGTCACATAAGGAATCTGTTAAATGAGCTTCGCGTGTAAGCGGTTACCCAACGCACAGCATTACATACGTAAAAGTCTGTTGGTTTTTGATTTCTACGTAAAAATGGTATAGCAGTGCATGCAATGCCAAGTATGCATAACAGAGCCTTAAGCCTCTATGACATAGATGGGCACACCAATACAGTCCCATTTTGTCATGGTATTCGTGAATCGCGCTGAGTAACAGTTGCCACTTTTCTATATTGTACAAAAGTGCGTCGTTTTTTGCGCGTGTTAGAAAACGCTCTTACAAATTTATATTTAATTTGTATTATGAACATGAAACGAAAATAATAAAATATAATAAAAAAATAATGAAGAAATAATTTCAAATAATGAATTATGAAATTAATTTTTATAAGTACATATGTACGCGCATGAAAAGTTTTTTTAATTTAATTTCATTAAACTAATGTTTTAAAAAATGATAGTTTATTCAACAACAAAATTCACGAATTTAAAATTTCTAAACTTTGTAAAAAACTC